AGAGAGAGAGAGAGAGAGAGAGAGAGAGAGAGAGAGAGAGAGAGAGAGAGAGAGAGAGAGGATGACGCCCTTTCTGAAATAACAATTTGTCCATGATTATTACGTGGGTGATGTAGTTTTTATCGTTACTCACGCTCATACATCACTGATGTAAACGCCGTTAGCGAGGGCAGTATAATACACGAAAAAACTAACTATCTACACGCGAATCTAAAGAATAACTCTATAGTTGGCTGAACATTGAGTGGGCAGTATTAAATTAAATCTGCCCACACTTCAGCTATGGCTATAAAGGTCGGCTAACAAAGTATGGGCAGGCACGACCAGACACTGCATTCTGCGCTGCGAGCTGCGGTTACCTACGAGGACCGACACTCCGTAGAAGACACCATTGACCGGTAAATATCATTCATTTTTGTCACTTTGGCTCCATTCGTAGAGCCTCCCTAACTATATGCGGCTTTGCCTACGCTATCAGGCTTTGTCTAGCTACTAAGGTCAAGCAAGCTACTTGCTTTCATGTGGTGAGGTTGATAGTATTACGCCAGTTAGAAGCACTGTCATCGAACGCTGGCACTGATGCCGTTGTTGCTTCTGTTAAACAAATGAGTTTGACTGTCCCTAACTGACTCATGTTTATGTAAGCGTATGTGCGTTTTCATTGTTTCCCGCGTACTGACTAGTGTTCATGTAAGCGTTTGTGAGTTTGCATTGTTTTCCACGTGGCAGGCGAAGTGACACACAAATGGTATTTTTTGACAAACACTAAATCATTTAGTGTCTAACACTAAATCATTTAGTGTCTAACACTAAATCATTTAGTGTCTAACACTAAATCATTTAGTGTCTAACACTAAATCATTTAGTGTCTATCATTAAATCATTTAGTGTTTGTCAATAAATACCATTTGTGTCCCACCTCGCCTGCCATACACGTACTGACTAGTGTTTAAGCCTTTTCTTAGGTAAGCGTTGGTGTTTTCATTGTTTTTGCGCGTACTGACTAGTGTTTAGGTAAGCGTTGGTGCGTTTTCATTGTTTCCCGCTCACTGACTCGTGTGTATGCGAGCGTTGGTGCGTTTTCGCTGTTTCCACGCACTGACTAGTGTTTAGTAAAGAACATGTTAACACATAACCTTACAACTATTGCTGGGCGAACATCGTGACAGCCTTGATCTAACAGCATCTTGCTGCAAACTTTACTCACCATTCCATAGACTAGAAACATCTCCAAATTGCGAAACTTTTACGCGAAAAGTAAAAAAGAACTTCCCTCTCCAACAGCGTTCCGATCAATATAGTGGATGGCTGTTGCTAGTATCTACTACTTGGTGACAGTACCTCATTAAATTAATTACTAGGATGTCTGAAAACCTCCACTGATTGAACACCCCGCGTTCCATCTATGTCACCACTCCCCTACACATGTCCTGGTTTGAACTGTGGTCGTACAAACGTACGTACCCACTTCCTGTTCATAAACCGTGTTTGTGATGCCGAAGTCACGACGTCCCGTTCCCACACTGTGATAGTAATTGTACGGAGCAGTTGGGCGGTAAATTAAATGCGCATTACCAAGCGGCTAACCGGAAGGCACGCGTGCTTGCAGTGCGCTTTCACTTTCCTCCGCCCTGCTTTTAGACTGCCTCAGTCTGTATGTCTAACTGTCTATCACCCCCACGTTTTCTCTCTTTTGCTTATATATATGTATCAAGAGTGTGTTTATGATCTACTCTTGATATATATATATATATATATATATATATATATATATATATAGTATACATACTATATAATATAGGTTTTATAAATGTGGTTATAAATAAGGTATTATAATCGCTGGAGCTCTTACACTGACGGTTTTAATTGCCAGTTGATCACCAGTTGATTTTTTTGGTGTTTGTATATGAGCTCGTGTGTGTGCGTATGTGCGTGCGTGCGTGCGTGCGTGCGTGCGTGCGTGCGTGCGTGCGTGAGTCCGCGTGTACGGGTACCATGATGTTTACATGACTTGTGACGTCACGGAGCACGTCGTATCGTGTGCTGCGTAGACGGGCGTCGACTGACGCACGTCCGCGCGTGACGTAAACACAGCAAGTGGGTGTGCGACACGAAACTGGTTACGCGTCAGTAGACTATGCCGTCTGCTGTCGCAATAGCACCCGCGGCGACAATATAAAAGCAATCGCGGACGAGGATATACATTTATATTTTGCCCTTAGTTAAAGCACTTTAGTTTACACAGCCTAGCGCGCCTTGAGAGAGACGTCCGTGCGTGCGTTCGATTATTAAATATCATTTCAGTGAGGAAGAGTGGAGTGCTTAGCGTGGTTTGCCAGTGCGATTGTATTGTAAAGCGTACTTTACTGCCCTGCTCTAACCCCGCCGAGCCGAGACACTGTCCTTGCCGAAAGCGAGGTTGACAAGTTTGAAATTTGCTCTGCTTGGGCGCGCGCGTGTGTACAGCGTTTGTCGGTTAGCGTGCCAAGAATTGAGAAACGACGCCACATTGAAACACCAACAACGACGACTGCAGGTGAGAATGGCACACGTACACGCATATGCGCGAATATTGATGAGATTCTGTGGACGAAACGTATAAATTCGCTTCGTATTGTGACAGAGTGTCACGAATGTGATCGAGCTCTGTCCTTGTGTGATTGGTGTTATAAAGTATTGTTCGGATTTCTCTAGTGTTGACAAACGTGCTCACGAATGGACGCCATGTTGTGGATTTCGTTGCTCCTACTTGTCTTCCCATCGTACATTATCGCGCAGGAAGTGACGTCAACGGCGACGACGACACGCGCAACTCAGGATGTCGTTAACGGTAAGATTGTAACATTGCCGTTATACACACACGTGGCGATGTAACACCGCTCAGGGGCGTGCTTGATCTAGATCACTCAGCGATCACCGGTTCCGCTCGATTAAACGCACGCACGCACGGCACGCACGCCACGCACGAACGACCGACGCACGCACGCGCGGCACACCAGCCACACACGCAAACAACACACACACACCGCACTCCACACAGCACACACCACAAACACACACCACACACACACACAACCTCACACAATATATATATATTATATATACAGCACACACCACGGCACACGACGCACCCGTCACACCACACACACACACACACACACACAACGATCCCCGCAGGCACACACGCATATAATATATATTACGCACAAACACACACCGCTCCGTCACACAGCTCACACGGCACACACACACACACACACACCACAACATAGTATATATATATATACACACACATGCACACACGGACACACACACAGCACACACACACACACACACACAATATATATATATAACACACCACACCACACACACACATCACACACACACACACACACATATCCACACACACACACAGCTTCCACACAACAACATATATATATATTTAATATATATATATATATATATCCTGAGTATTGTCTTATGGACATTATATTAATGAATGATTAATAATGCCGTATAATTACGGTTATTAATATAACGATTATATGTTTATTGGTTGAAGGCAGGGAAGCCGTGCCACACGAGTTCCCATGGATGGCTGTCATTGAGACTCCTAACTTTGAAGGGATCACGTGCGGTGGCGCCATCATCGACGAATGTCACGTGATAACAGCGCGTCACTGCGTTGGGAAGCTCACGTCTGAGGATGTAACCGGTACGCTCCCTGCTTTATATTTCACCAACGCGTACCCTTCGATCTACTCTTACTATAAAATAATTACACACACTCGTATACAAATGGGCAATCTTTATTAAAATAAATGTGCGATTACGTAAACATCATGTGGCATAGCAAACTCGCGATTTGTTGATCTCACAGTTCGATGTGGAAAATTATTCTCTAAATATCTTGTCACAACTCAAAGGACATTTGTGCTACGCTACGCGTTGCCTTCTCACGCAGTCAGATATTGTTTCGGTTTAATATTTTATTTATACAGGAGAATATCTCATCAAACGCATACACGCATAACAGTCTAACGCATAAACAGCATAGCGCATAACCGACGAAGTGCTTCGACATATTCAACGCCCAAAGACAGGTAAAAGTAACAGTAAACAAATGTAGGTAAACGCTAAACCGACCAGGCTCTCCGACTGCTACACGTCGTAGGACGCCGTAGGACGTAGTAGGACCTCTTCGTAGGACCTCGTCGTAGTAGGACACGTCGTAGGACGTCGTAGGACCTCTCGCCAACGTAGTGTTAAGCGAGCAGAGAACTTGTGGCTAGGTAAACGCAAGCGTTTACACAGCGGCTTCTGTTCATGTTATCTTTAGTGAAACTGGGGAAGCATAGCATACAGATAGCCGAGGTTACCGAACAGACGTTCAGCGTGGATGGCATGAACGTACACCCAACGTTCGACGTAGCTCTGGTGCGTCTCAACACGGCGGCCATCTTGAACGAGAACATCAAACCCATCGACATGGACGCGTGGACGAGCGCCAAGGTTGGAGATGACATCATCGTAGCCGGCTGGGGTGTCTATAATTCCACACAGGTAAAGATAATCAGTAGCTAATATGTTATCGAATAATCAATAATAATATATACCATCCAGGTAAATGTAACATTAATAACGGTGATAGTGTAAACCCAGACGATTGCAACAGTGAGGAAAACATGGATGAAATGCAATACGCTCTGCATTTTTAGCTCTTTCACAGACAACCATATCGGATAGAAAATTTGAGGATGTCGTTTATACTACCAGTACGAAAGTTACCCTTTCGGGCACGATATATAATTTCTATGCGCAAATACACGCTTGACGTAGTCACATTGACTCTCTCTCTCTCCACCATCTAAATTTTATGATGCAGTTCATACTATTATAGGTACATGAGTTACTATCACGTACGATATACAATTTCTATTTACAAACATACGCTTGATGTACTTACGCCTGGTTATCTCCCCATCAGCTTCTCTACGCCAGCAACCTTCAGAAGATCAGTCTGACCGTCGTCGATCCAAACACCTGCGAGCAGGACGGCATCGTCATCAGCGACATCGAGTGGTGCGCTGGCGAACTAAACGCCGCCACCTACTCGAACGCCTGCTACGGAGACTCGGGCAGTCCGGCGCTGCTGCGGCGTGCCGACAGCAGCTACGTGCTGGCGGGGCTGGTCGAGCGCGGGCTGCACAACTGCCCGTTGAATCATCGCTACGCAGCCTACACGAACACGACCCTCGTCATCGACTGGGTGCGAAAGAGAACGAGCGGAGTTCTGCTGACGGTCGAGAACAACGAGTACGTGTGTCGGCGTTCGGGCGGCGACGACAACGACGTCGAGTTCTCCGACGTGAACGTATTCAACCGCGTCGGCGCCTTCAGCGCTGGCGGCGGTAGCGTCGACAACGCGACGACGACGACGCCTCCGACGACGACAACGACCATGGCATCGACAGCGAGGAGGACTGAGTCACGTGGTACGACGGCGACGACGACGCAGGCCCCGACACAGCCGACAACGACCAGGCGAGGAAGGGGACATCGCGGTGGTGGTAATAGAAGGACGAACCGCGGTAGAGGAAACAGAAGAACGTAGATTCAACATCATTTTTATGTGCGAATATAATATCAGGAGTGAATAATAATAGATTCTATAATAATAGATATCTATTATTATTCACTCGTGATAATATATATATATATATATATACATTATATTCATACTAAATTGTAAACTTTCTAGAGGTAGATACTATAGTTTATATGTGTGTAGCTAGTTTTTCGATACAGATTTAGCTGAAGCTTTGTATTCGTAGAATAGAATATAATTCTCTTTATGATATTATGATGCCATTATTAATCTCAAGCCTTGATAACCAGACAGCTTGCGTAAAACCACTTAGAAAGATGTCAGTATATATCCGACGAGCACATATAGATCTGACAATACAGATATATCTGAGAGCACAGGTATGTATCTGACAGCCAATATGCATTTATTGAATAATCTGTGGCTGTTACTTGGACCAAACAGCAAATTGTGTTGAATCTATTAAGTTGTATTGTATATGCGGAATTCGCCCATGACTACTCTTATCTGTTATATTATGTCATATTATGTTATGTTATGTTATGTTATGTTATGTTATGTTATGTTATGTTACGTTACGTTACGTTACGTTACGTTACGTTACGTTACGTTACGTTACGTTACGTTACGTTACGTTACGTTACGTTACGTTATGTTATGTTATGTGTTAGCTGCCGAACCACATTGCTATGTAGAGCATTACCGGTCGGTGAATCTCGCAGTTGTTTGCTAATACGTCGCTAGCCAGCGTGGCCCGAAGTTGTCGGTCTAGTGGGCTCAATGCGCTAGAGTGTTCTCTGTTGACGGTAGTACGGCGCCCCCCGCTTTATAGAGACAGGTCGAAAACCACAGAAATGTCCTGATTAATTAATCAGTGGTCCCGATTAAACGGTGAACATGTCATATGGTGCATAGAGATGGTTTTTCAAAGATGCATGTCGTAGAGTGGATGCGCCCGTTTATCCGATACCCGATAAAGCGGGGACCACCGTATATAATGACGTCAACCGCTTGCTAATTTTGCGTGCGAGAATACGTACGCTGCCTATTAATACGTGTTTGCAACTGTATAGGGTTCACTGTACCTGGTGAGGTAACACAACACACGGCACGTCATTCTAGTTTTTATTCATTGCTAAGATATGGCGTCAATTACTTTCGCCTAGAAACTAACCCAGTGGAACTACACCCCTGTCTGCCCAGGCCCTTGCGTTCAATTTTATAATTTGCCCCCGGTGTTACCGGGCAATAAATACCCTGCACGGGCATTAATTATTATACAATTTGCAAACTCTTCTTGCCTTTGTGCTTCGTGTTCTAACGGCGCTATGCGCGTATACTGATTTGCATGCTGCATGATTCATAATAAAAGAAGTATGAAACTATAACACGCATCACAAAATATGCAGAGTAACTTTTACTTTAAATGTGAAAGGTAGGACGAAGAAGCAAGAGTTAACACAAAGTATAGACCAACAGAAATATATATGTATAGATACTCAAATATATATATATATATATATATATATATATATATATATTTGAGCAGTAGTTTATTATCTCACAATTATATACGCACAAACAAATACGGGGAAAAGCAACGCACCGTCGTCTGAGTAAACGCCAGGACAAATTGACTTCTAGCAACCCTTCTTACACATAATTTTTTTTCATTCACGCGGTAGATAGATTCACAACGCATACTCGCGGCTGTATGTGTAGACTGTAGAACATATACCAGTTCTCTGCACTGGTGCGTCGCCACCATTGCTACCTTCGCACGGCACGCCGAGAACAATGGGAACTTTCGGCACACATTTCCTTACACAATTACACAGCAAACAGATGAGTCGCCTAATTTGAAACCATTAGATCATTGCAGGCACAATAGCCCATCACCAGGGGCGGATCCAGGAATTCTTGAACGGGGGGGGGGAAGCGTGAGTGTAACACAGAGAAGACTCGGACCACGCGGTGTACCTCGACGTAGATTTCCTAGAAGCCTTTTTTTTAAAATGAGAGAATGCGGTTGCCACGTTGAATTCCTAATTCACATGATGAAGTCTGACTACACTTTTAAAATATTCACCCTACATCAACTTGGACAAATGATTACACATGGTGTATAAATTAGGACTTCAGTCACGCCACAAGGAGATCGCGTGTGTCTAAGCAATAGAACCCCCCCCCTGGATCCTCCTGAACCATCCCTGGATACATTGCTTACACTGGAGAGGTGTTAAAGTCAGCTGATTTCAAAATAATTAATATTTTTATTGCGCACTAGGCCGTTCCACGTTTTTACATTTACAGTGCTAACTTTTGCATAAATAACGAATGTAACAATAGCGAGTTATGATATCTTAGCCACTTATCAACGGAAGAGATTCACATGCCATGCATAAAATCCATATACATCTAAACAATTACTGAAAGCAGTACATGCAACGCGGACTACCATGCCTGCATGACGCAACTTTGAATAATTTGATTGCATAAACCAGAAAACAGGTTAAACACTATCCGGCCATAACCCCTAGCGGCAATATATTCCTCTCCCATCACATATCTTGTTATTTACTCACTTCTATCATAAACCAATGACATTTTCAGCATCACAGCGATCATTGAGATTATAATTATTGTGTTCACAAATCGAAAAAACACAATAAGTCTTGTTCAACGAATTTAAGATGCAATACATGAATGCTAAATCTATATCGCCATATGGAAACGCAACAACGGCTGCCGTGGTGAAATTTGCACATGTTTACTACGGTCAAACCCGTTTAAGGGCCACTCAGCGGCGGATAGCTGGTTTAATATCATATGATGTTCGTGAGAGTTCGGCCAGAGCTTGAGAAAATACATCACACGGTGTTTTGAAGACGACACGTTATAACAAATGCAAACAAATGGCTACCGGTTACCGGTGAAAATGGTGAATGTTAATTTGAAATTCGCAGCAGCAGAACAAACGCAACAATACAAACAGAAATGTGTGCCTCAGACTGCTGCGACTCTAGCGCTTTCCTGCGCCGCCGATGGCGCCACCTGTATTTCCACCCCCTCCCTTCAATCAGGTCACACGATAGTGAGCTTCGCCGTTTAGGTCGCACGATCTAGTTCTGCAATTCACAGATAAAGTCAATTCTATAGTAACAAATAAATATCGATGTGGTACCGCCAATTCACTCCCTATATCCATGTTATGTAATAAGCCGTACTCTCACTATCCAAATGCGAGCTATTGTAACTTTATCGCGAGATACACGGCCTCTGTAGCTATTTCAGCCACACATAGCTCAGACACATAGTACGTACCCCGCCATCTGATCGCTTGGACATTTGGCCCAACTCGAGTGCTGCAATTCTGGCCTCCAACGCTTCCAAGTATCTGCAAGGATTACGGGAATTATGCGTTATTAATAGTTATTATGAGCTTAACACAGATGGATGCAATCGATGAATCCGTGCCGTGGGCTCTTTTCAGCAAAAACCTTTTTTTAATTTCACAGCGATTATTTATTATAAAAGAGCCCCACGCCGTGATATGGGCCTCGCGTTTGCCAAGACTGGTTCTGACGCTATACGTATGCAATTCTCGTGTTCTTTTTACGAATGTGCACACGTATGCAACGCCGGCTGGTATATGCGCACACTTACTCACTCACTCATTCACTCACTCACTCACTCATTCACTCACTCACTCACTCACTCACTCACTCACTCACTCACTCATTCACTCACTCACTCACTCACTCACTCACTCACTCACTCACTCACTCACTCATCACTCACTCACTCATCACCCACCACGATGGATGGATGGATGGATGGATGGATCGATGGATGGATAGATAGATAGATGGATGGATAGATAGATAGATAGATATAAATAGATAGATAGATAGATAGATATATAGAGATAGAGAGAGAGAGAGAGAGAGAGAGAGAGAGAGAGAGAGAGAGAGAGGGAGAAAGAAAGAGAGAGCGAGGAAAAGAGAGAGCGAAGGAAAGAGAGAGAGAGAGAGAGAGAGAGAGAGAGAGAGAGAGAAGAGAGAGAGAAGAAGAGAGAGAGAAAGAGAGAGCGAAGAGAGGAGAGAGAACGGAACATATAGCGACTGGATTGTCTCGGAATAACATTAATGTTATGCAGTTATATCAATAAACGGCATGATCAAGAGCGAATATACTGTACGAATGAATTATGCGCTCTTGATATAAAAAATATACATATAATATGATGTAATGTATATTTATATATATATATATATATACGACATCGACCACGCAAATTGTTATGACGATTTATCTACGTCAATCTTTAAACCTACAGATAACATCAACTACATAACATCAATAGCATCACCAAATTCAGAATATCTGTATATCTGCGACAACTAAAGTCACCTCTCATCTCTCATCCGACCACGTTGTTTACTATTCTGAAATGCGTAGATAAACCCCTGCTTGGCGCGAGAGCGTGTGATATCAAGAGTGATATAATATAGACACTATATTATCAGGAGTAAATCTATATATTTATTTTATCGATCTTACTATTTTATTATTTTAGATATCTATTATTTTTTCACTCCTGATATTATGACTATTATTATTATGACACTCCTGGTAACATGATATCTAGATACGCGTCCAGTCAGACTTACTCACAGGACAGGACAGACAGGACAGGACAGGATAGGACAGACTTAGACTCACAGACTTAGACAGGACGACAGGACTTCACAGGACAGGACAGAACTTCACTTCACAGGACAGGACAGGACAGGACAGGACAGGACAAGACTTCACAGACTTAGACAGGACAGGACAGGACAGGACAGGACAGGATAGGACAGGACTTTACAGGAAAGGACAGGACAGGACAGGATAGGACAGGACTTCACAGGACAGGACAGGACAGGACAGAATAGGACAAGACTTCACAGACTTAGACAGGACAGGACAGGACAGGACAGGACACAGACTTCACAGGGCAGGACCGGACAGACAGGACAGGACAGCGAGAAGACTTCACAGACTTAGACAGGACAAACTCAGACTCACAGGACAGACTTACTGTATAGCACTGGTGAGATACTGATGGTTTGTCGATAAGCATGCTCGCCACCTGAGGCTGTTGATAGAAGCTGACTGCTTGCGTCATCACCACGCAGGCAACGAGCACCGCCACCATCACAGCAAGGTTCGCCGACTTCATGTTTCTGTTTCTATAGCAAGGAAAGAGTCACAGGTTAGAACTGCAGCAAGGAAAGAATCACAGTTGAACTCGAGCAAGAAAGAAACAGTTGGAACCAGCAAGGAAAGAATCACAAGTTAGAACTCTAGCAAGGAAAGAATACAGGTTGGAACCCAGCAAGGAAAGAATCACAAATTAGAACTCCAGTAAAAAGAATCACAGGTTGAACTCCACTACGATGCTAGCGCAACGACAACCGACGACGATTGTACTCGAACGTCGCACAAGTTTATCGGCGCGAGGTTTGCGCAGTACCATCGGCCTAACCTTCGCTAACATGCCACTATCGTATGATAACCGTGCGTAAAAAATTCTGAAGGGGTGATATATGCGTGGGCGTGAGCAAATATGTAATGTAAAATCCCATATCCGGTCGGGTGCATATCATGCGCATGTACAGAATGCGCTGCCTATTACGATATATGCCTCAAGTTACTTGTTGCGCGTACTATATTATTGTAGTTAATCGCGAGCTATATAATAAATCTTACATGAATTACAACAAACAACACCACATTCTGACCTCTACAAGCACCATTTAATATTACAGTACATCTACACGCCAATATATATATATTATATATATATATATATATATATATATAGTGTGTGTGTGTGTGTGTGTGTGCGTGTGTGTGTGTGCGTGTGTGTGTGTGCGTGTGTGTGTGCGTGTATGCGTGTGTAATCGAGACACACGCGCATGCACGCACACACGTACACACGCATGCACGCGCGCACACACACACACACACAAACAAACACGCACGCACGCACGCACACACACCGAATGTATAAAAGAAATAGCCGTAAAACCTCACACGACAACCGCACATACCTGCTGTGTATATCTATCTACCTTCTCTCGGGTCTATTCGCACGCAAATCTCGGGCACGACGTACAGATGATCCAAGCAAGCTGTTCTCCTGCGAAGACCGATGTGATGCGAAGACCGATGTACGCGTCAGCCCCTTATAAATGTCCCGCTACCCCCGAACTGCCCACACACCTTGATTACACGACGTCACGTGTCCAACAACTGTGAAGCCCTTCTCAGTGGTAATGAATTCGACGCTAGCACATATGAAACATATGAAAACGCGACTTGACGTACGGAATTTCATTAGGAAATATTCGAGCAATGGTCTCCCAACGAAGGGCCTGACGTCATTCGAGTTAATTAATAACGCTCGCTATGCATATCTCTCGATTGATATGATCTCAGCTTGCATTATTGTTGCTCAATGTTTGATCAGCACCTGAAGCTAGTCTCCCGCCATATTGGTGTGTACGTGCTAATATTGAGATCCCCAGCCTACGCGTGCGATAGAGTTGAAGATAAATAAACATGAAAAAAAAGGTACGAATGCAAAAAAAATGAGAGCCTTTATCGTATAAAATTTGGTTTATTTGAGCTGAGCTCTTTATGCACGTGTTTATACCGTACGAAGGGACGCGTGTCAATGTTTGCATACATTGCCTACCTGTGTGCTTTATCGGAATCAAAGTAAATGCAGTGAGTAATAGGAGGTTTCAGGGAAATCTAAACGTTTAAAGTGATTACGTCACCGTAAATAGTAAAAAATAAAATATAACTAATTCTGTTCACTTTTTATGGTTAAATTGCTGCATTATACTTCTTATTTTACTATATTGTTCGATGTGTACATACACTCGTAACGCATACATAGCCCATAGCAAGCAATTAATGTCAGGAACACTAATATCAAATCGTCCAGCTTTTTTGGATTTTTAACTAGTTGAGAAACAATCTTATCAGGTAAGAATTTGACAATACGTTTAGTCCCGTTAGTTCTTACTTTTAATGTAAAAAAATGGCAACAATTTTTTTTACAAATTTTACCATAAAAAATTCGTGACGTAGTCAATTTAACGTGTGACATTAATTAAACTGTGAATTTAACTGTCAATTTAACTGTGACATTAACACTGGCGTCGACTGCACGTGACATTGACTACAAACTACATGCAAACAACTATAAATACACAAGTACACACGACTCTTAGAAATGTATGTACAATACAATGCACGTGAATGTATGTACAATATATACAACGTATGTCATACACTATACTGGCCCTACCATATTTGTGTGTGAATATTGTACCCACATTGCCCCCCCCCAAAGACTAATATATTTAAGAAAGACATTTAACTATATTCAAGCTATCGTTAATTTCAATTTGAGTTGAATTGTTTCCACGTCTGCCACGAGTTACTCCTTTAGTATGCTGACAGAAAACACAGGAGCAGCAAGCTTATCTTTGCTCAGCATCTTTCCATTCACGGCGAGCACGACTGGACTTTCCACTCTAACGTTCCAGAAATGATACTTCTAAAATAAAAAACAAAAACAAAAAGTCCACGAGTACAGGCCACGGGCTTAGAACACTCAACAAAATGGTGTACGCCCACAATGTTTTAGGACTGCGAGAATCGATAGAAAACAGATGAGATAAACATTAACAGTCCTAAACAAATAACAAATACACCAAGTACTGAAGTAGTGGATCACTACGACCCCACCATACGACATCGTTGCAAGGTTGCTCAGTCTGAATCCAATTATACGTTTTTTCACGTGCACGCAAAACGTCAACTTCTCAGCACTTCGTCACCAAGCAACGTTTTTAGAATGCCCCATCACGGCATTTATAGGGTAGATCTACTTGTTGATTCCTCTAGGCAGACAGGGCAGTTAGCCCTATCTTTAGCATATAAAACATGAGAAGGCAATTCCTATTGGTACCTTGAGAAAGCAGGGCTATGCCAAAAAAGAGACATAGATAGAGACAGCACAAAAACGCTGACATATATAATACTATTCTTAGACACTACTTCTTTTGCTACCTTCCGTTTCTTCTGACATTACAGTCAAACCTGCCTGCAATGGCCACCACAGCGAAACTCAAAAGTTACCTTTAATTATAGATAGGTTACAAACATACAGAAGTACGCAGCCATTTATTACCATATCTACAACGTATAATACATTCTGTTGATTCTTGCTAGTACGTACATACCTTGCTGTTAAACTCGACGTCCACGTTGCTGAGAATCGGCTCGGGAATTGCCACGGAGTCACCGATGATGACTCCCTGACCGGCTGCAAGGTTATACAAGGTCACAGAGAAGCATGTTGCATCGCTGTCCACCATGCAAAAGGTGCTGCAAAACAAATTAATGTCTGGCATTGTAACATGTCCATGCCGACACGGAAATCGGTGATAGCTCGCGAGATTACATTGACTGTGGCACACCGACTACAATGACGACAATTGTAACATGCACACATTATTCAGTACACAGGTGGCGCCACAATCACCATCAACACATAAGGTAACTATAATTACCTCCGCCAGGGGCGTGGCGGAGGTTATGTTTTCACCGGCGTGCCATTGAGTGTTGGTTTGTGTGTGTGTGTGTGTGTTACCATGCACGTTTCAGTTCACTTCCGCTAGGTGCGCTGGCTGTAGACTTACAAACACAGGCTAAGGGGCAACCACAGTCCTCCCCATTATATACGCACAAACAAATACGGGGAAAAGCAACGCACCGTCGTCTGAGTAAACGCCAGGACAAATTGACTTCTAGCAACCCTTCTTACACATAATTTTTTTTCATTCACGCGGTAGATAGATTCACAACGCATACTCGCGGCTGTATGGTGTAGACTGTAGAACATATACCAGTTCTCTGCACTGGTGCGTCGCCACCATTGCTACCTTCGCACGGGCACGCCGAGAACCAATGGGAACTTTTCGGCACACATTTCCTTACACAATTACACCAGCTAAACAGATGAGTCGCCTAATTTGAAAAGCCATTAGATCATTGCAGGCACAATAGCCCATCACCAGGGGGCGGATCCAGGAATTCTTGAACGGGGGGGGGGGGAAGCGGTGAGTGTAACACAGAGAAGACTCGGACCACGCGGTGTACCTCGACGTAGATTTCCTAGAAGCCGTTTTTTTTAAATGAGAGAAATGCGGTTGCACGTTGAATTCCTAATTCACATGATGAAGTCTGACTACACATTTTAAAATATTTCACCCTACATCAACTTGGACAAATGATTACACATGGTGTATAAATTAGGACTTCAGTCACGCCACAAGGGAGATCGCGTGTGTCTAAGCAAATAGAACCCCCCCCCCTGGATCCTCCCTGGAACCATCCCTGGATACATTGCTTACACTGGAGAGGTGTTAAAGTCAGCTGATTTCAAAATAATTAATATTTTTATTGCCGCACTAGGCCGTTCCACGTTTTACATTTACAGTGCTAACTTTTGCATAAATAACGAATGTAACAATAGCGAGTTATGATATCTTAGCCACTTATCAACGGAAGAGATTCACATGCCATGCATAAATCCATATACATCTAAACAATTACTGAAAGCAGTACATGCAACGCGGACTACCATGCCTGCATGACGCAACTTTGAATAATTTGATTGCATAAACCAGAAAACAGGTTAAAACAGCTATCCGGCCATAACCCCTAGCGGCAATATATTCCTCTCCCATCCACATATCTTGTTATTTACTCACTTCTATCATAAACCAATGACATTTTCAGCATCACAGCGATCAATTGAGATTATAATTATTGTGTTCCACAAATCGGAAAAAACACAATAAGTCTTGTTCAACGAATTTAAGATGCAATACATGAATGCTAAATTCTATATCGCCATATGGAAACGCAACAACGGCTGCCGTGGTGAAATTTGCACATGTTTACTACGTCAAACCCCGTTTAAGGGCCACTCAGCGGGCGGATAGCTGGTTTAATATCATATGATGTTCGTGAGAGTTCGGCAGAGCTTGAGAAAATACATCACAGGTGTTTTGAAGACGACACGTTATAACAAATGCAAACAAATGGCTACCGGTTACCGGTGAAAATGGTGAATGTTAATTTGAAATTCGCAGCAGCAGAACAAACGCAACAATACAAACAGAAATGTGTGTCCTCAGACTGCTGCGACTCCTAGCGCTTTCCTGCGCCGCCGATGGCGCCACCTGTATTTCCACCCCCTCCACCTTCAATCAGGTCACACGATAGTGAGCTTCCGCCGTTTAGGTCGCACGATCTAGTTCTGCAATTCACAGATAAAGTCAATTCTATAGTAACAAATAAATATCGATGTGGTACCGCAATTCACTCCCTATATCCATGTTATGTAATAAAGCCGTACTCTCACTATCCCAAATGCGAGCTATTGTAACTTTATCGCGAGATACACGGCCTCTGTAGCTATTTCAGCCACACATAGCTCAGACACATAGTACGTACCCCCGCCCATCTGATCGCTTGGACATTTGGCCCAACTCGAGTGCTGCAATTCTGGCCTCCAACGCTTCCAAGTATCTGCAAGGATTACGGGAATTATGCGTTATTAATAGTTATTATGAGCTTAACACAGATGGATAGCAATCGATGAATCCGTGCCGTGGGCTCTTTTCAGCAAAAACCTTTTTTTAATTTCACAGCGATTATTTATTATAAAAGAGCCCCACGCCGTGATATGGGCCTCGCGTTTGCCAAGACTGGTTCTGACGCTATAGCTATGCAATTCTCGTGTTCTTTTTACGAATGTGCACACGTATGCAACGCCGGCTGGTATATGCGCACACTTACTCACTCACTCATTCACTCACTCACTCATATATGCGTTGGAGCAAATATGTAATGTAAAAATCTCCATATCCGGTCGGGTGCATATATCATGCGCATGTACAGAATGCGCTGGCCTATTACGATATATGCCTCAAGTTACTTGTTGCGCGTACTATATTATTGTAGTTAATCGCGACTATAAATAAAAATCTTACATGAATTACAACGACAACACCCACATTCTGACCTCTACAAGCACCATTTAATATTACGGTACATCTACACGCCAAATATATATACTATATATATATATATGGTGTGTGTGTGTGTGTGTGTGCGTGTGTGTGTTGTGCTGTGTGTGTGTGTGCGTGTGTGCTGTGCGTGTATGCGTGTGAATCGAGACACACGCGCATGCACGCACACACGTAACACACGCATGCACGCGCGCACACACACACACACACCACAAACAAACACGCACGCACGCACGCACACACACCCGAATGTATAAAAGAAATAGCCGTAAAACCTCAAACGACAACCGCACATACCTGCTGTGTATATCTATCTACCTTCTCTCGGGTCTATTCGCACGCAAATCTCGGGCACGACGTACAGATGATCCAAGCAAGCTGTTTCTCCTGCGAAGACCGATGTGATGCGAAGACCGATGTACGCGTCAGCCCCTTATAAATGTCCCGCTACCCCGAACTGCCACACACCTTGATTACACGACGTCACGTGTCCAACAACTGTGAAGCCCTTCTCAAGTGGTAATGAATTCGACGCCAGCACATATGAAACATATGAAAACGCGACTTGACGTACGGAATTTCATTAGGAAATATTCGAGCAATGGTCTCCCAACGAAGGGCCTGACGTCATTCGAGTTAATTAATAACGCTCGCTATGCATATCTCTCGATTGATATGATCTCAGCTTGCATTATTGTGGCTCAATGTTTGATCAGACCTGAAGCTAGTCTCCGCCATATTGGTGTGTACGTGCTAATATTGAGATCCCCAGCCTACGGCGTGCGATAGAGTTGAAGATAAATAAGCATGAAAAAAAAGGTACGAATGCAAAAAAATGAGAGCCTTATACGTAATAAAATTTGGTTTATTTGAGCTGAGCTCTTTATGCACGTGTTTATACGCGTACGAAGGGACGCGTGTAATGTTTGCATACATTGCCTACCTGTGTGCTTTATCGGAATCAAAGTAAATGCAGTGAGTAATAGGAGGTTTCAGGGAAATCTAAACGTTTAAAGTGATTACGTCACCGTAAATAGTAAAAAATAAAATATAACTAATTCTGTTCACTTTTTATGGTTAAATTGCTGCATTTATACTTCTTATTTTACTATATTGTTCGATGTGACATACACTCGTAACGCATACATAGCCCATAGCAAGCAATTAATGTCAGGAACACTAATATCAAATCGTCCAGCTTTTTTGGATTTTAACTAATTGAGAAACAATCTTATCAGGTAAGAATTTGACAATACGTTTAGTCCCGTTAGTTCTTACTTTAATGTAAAAAAATGGCAAAAACAATTTTTTTACAAATTTTACCATAAAAAATTCGTGACGTAGTCAATTTAACGTGTGACATTATAAACTGTGAATTTAACTGTCATTTAACTGTGACATTAACACTGGCGTCGACTGCACGTGACATGACTACAAACTACATGCAAACAACTATAAATACACAAGTACACACGACTCTTAGAAATGTATGTACAATACAATGCACGTGAATGTATGTACAATATATACAACGATGTCATACACTATACTGGCCTACCATATTTGTGTGTGAATATTGTACCCACATTGCCCCCCCCCCCCAAAGACTAATATATTTAAGAAAGACATTTAACTATATTCAAGCTATCGTTAGTTTTCAATTTGAGTTGAATTGTTTCCACGTCTGCCACGAGTTACTCCTTTAGTATGCTGACAGAAAACACAGGAGCAGCAAGCTTATCTTTGCTCAGCATCTTTCCATTCACGGCGAGCACGACTGGACTTTCCACTCTAACGTTCCAGAAATGATACTTCTAAAAATAAAAAAACAAAAACAAAAGTCCACGAGTACAGCGCAAGGGCTTAGAACACTCAACAAAATGGTGTAGCGCCACAATGTTTTAGGACTGCGAGAATCGATAGAAAACAGATGATAAACATTAACAGTCCTAAACAAATAACAAATACACCAAGTACTGAGTAGTGATCACTAACGACCCACCATACGACATCGCTTGCAAGGTTGCTCAGTCTGAATCCAATTATACGTTTTTTTCACGTGCACGCAAAACGTCAACTTTCAACACTTCGTCAGCCCACAGCAACGTTTTAGAATGGCCCCATCACGGCATTTATAGGGTAGATCTACTTGTTGATTCCTCTAGGCAGACAGGGCAGTTAGCCCTATCTTTAGCATATAAAACATGAGAAGGCAATTCCTATTGGTACCTTGAGAAAGCAGGGCTATGCCAAAAAAGAGACATAGATAGAGACAGCACAAAAACGCTGACATATATAATACTATTCTTAGACACTACTCTTTTGCTACCTTCCGTTTCTTCTGACATTACATTCAAACCTGCCTGCAATGGCCACCACAGCGAAACTCAAAAGTTACCTTTAATTATAGATAGGTTACAAACATACAGAAGTACGCAGCCATTTATTACCATATCTACAACGTATAATACATTCTGTTGATTCTTGCTAGTACGTACATACGCTTGCGGTTAAACTCGACGTCCACGTTGCTGAGAATCGGCTCGGGAATTGGCCACGGAGTCACCGATGATGACTCCGCTGACCGGCTGCAAGGTTATATCAAGGTCACAGAGAAGCATGTTGCATCGCTGTCCACCATGCAAAAGGTGCTGCAAAACAAATTAATGTCTGCGATTGTAACATGTCCATGCCGACACGGAAATCGGTGATAGCTCGCGAGATTACATTGACTGTGGCACACCGACTACAATGACGACAATTGTAACATGCACACATTATTCAGTACACAGGTGGCGCCACAATCACCATCAACCATAAGGTAACTATAATTACCTCGCCAGGGCGTGGCGGAGGTTATGTTTTCACCGGCGTGCCATTGAGTGTTGGTTGTGTGTGTGTGTGTGTGGTTACCATGCACGTTTCAGTTCACTTCCGCTAGGTCGCTGGTGTAGACTTACAAACACGAGCTAAGGGGCAACCACAGTCCTCCCCCACCTGCACGCTCGCACTAATCCGGATCCAATTAATTAATTAA